GCGTTATATATATAGATGTTTTCTGTATCATCGTTGATCTCGACAAGATGGAACTATTTGCTACTTGGTGGCATTTCAAACACATCATAAAATCCACAATTATTGAAGGAAACCTGCGTATGGATTATATGTAAATTTTGTTAACGTGTATGGTTTTCATTCAATCTAATTCATCACTTTTTTTATAAAAGCTAACATTAAAAATTCAGTTTTTTTTAAGTAAACCAATCACATTAAAAATATTAACTAAGACACTATTATTTAAAGAGCTGTATGTATTACCATGTAAACACATAAACTTTGTTCGCATTAAAACATGTAGTTCTGTTCTTAAAAACCCCACAAGATTTATAAACTAACTAGAGGACCCATGCTGCTCCGCAGCGTTGAAATAAATATCATATCCAAAAAATAATTAAACTTTTACGAGCAAATTTCGTTTACATATAAGCCGAGTGAGATTGCAGAAAAATATATGCCGATGCTTGATAGAAAGTTTGTTTGTGCTTACCTTCAATTTGAGGCCTCGATCATGAAAATCGGTCGGGTAGAAGAGCCAAACGAACCCGGAAAAGAAAACCAGGTTTAACTCACTTAAGAAATACATGGGGAGCAAATTTTGCCTACGTGTAAGCCGAGTGAGACTGTAGATAGATATATGCCGATGCTTGATGGGAAATCTGTGCGTGCATACCTTCAATTTGAGACCTAAATCATGAAAATCGGTCGGGTAGAAGAGCCAAACTAACTCGGAAAAGAAAAACCAAATTGTACTCCCATAAGAAATACATGGGGAGCAAATTTCGTTTACGTATAAGCAGAGTAGGACTGTAGATATATATATATGCTGATACTTTATGTGAAATCTGTGCGTGCATAACTTCAATTTGAGACCTAAATAATGAAAATCGGTCGGGTAGAAGAGCCTAACAAACTCGGAAAAGAAAACCCAAATGTTTTTAATAATACAGGGTGAGTTTTAAATGAGTTCCCCCGCCCTACTTTTTTCTACATTTCTTAAGATATCAACTTCGGACCACGTCAGATCATTGTAGTGTAGTAAGTACTTCGTTTTGACTGGGTATATATTTTTGGGCGCAATCTTGGATCCGCCATTATTGGATACAAAGTTTTTTTTTTCAAATGTAAAGGTTGGGTTGTGACCCATTGTTTCAAACTAGAATTTTACGCTGTTAACAATGCCTCAATTAGTTTCTAAAAATCTTGATCCGTTCTAAAGTTATGAGTACTTTTTATAACTTTATTTTTAGCCCATTTTAACATTGTGCATTTACAAACTAAGACCATAATCTCAAAATAGTCCTAGATAAAGACGAGTAGGGTATACACCACCATTCATTGTCGACCTACTATCCCTTGGTTATGACGGATATATTTTTTTTGCCGCTATCTTGGATCTGCCATTTTGAAATGTGATAAACTAATTTAAATATGAAGGTGGTGTTGTGACCCATCATTTTGAACTACTTTTTTATGGTGAACTCAATGCCACAATCCGTTTTTGTTTCTCAGGCTTTCTTGATGAAATATTAAAATGATCTTACTTAAATTTCCAATATTTCAAAAAACAAATATGAAAATGCAAAACGGATTGCAAATCGGAGGAATCCGATTTTGGCATTTTCAAATAATCGAAAATATATCATTTTGGCTGTAGACGTAAAAGTACGGACAAACTAACTATTTATAAACAAAATATTTTTGTGTTGAAATTTAAAACAATTGTCTCAAACCCTACATCAAACAATGCTGATTCATAATGGTTAAAACAACTATGATCGATAATGTCTCTAGCCAGTAATTTTTACTGAACTTATGGCTAGAGACATTATCGATTCACACGGGGACCCACGTAAAGTTGGCCCCACTATAATGAGCACAAATTATAAAAACATGTCCATAATTTAGTGCTGAATTTGTGCTTCTCAAAGGTATATATAAAAAAATTTGTGCTCAACAATTACACACAAAAAAATTATAAAAACTGTTGGCAGGGCTAACTTCACGTTCAGCCCGCCACCAAAGGAATTAACAATGTATTATACATAGAAATTTAGTGCTCATTTTGTGCTACAACAATATATAGTTTTTATAATTTGTGCTCTAAAAACAACCAAGTAAATGAGGAAAAACTGCTGCCGGTGATGACGTCATCCGCCATGCCACATTGAGCAAATCGGTTGAAAATTGTGCCATGATTTAGTGCTCATTTTGTGCTACAACAATATATAAGTTTTATAATTTGTGCTCTTATAATTAATTATAATATAATTTGTGCTCTCTTCACTATCAAAGGTGTTCTTGTCCTGTCCGTACGGAACACTGAGTAATATGCGCTACCAAATTATGAATAATTGTTTAGGCCTACGAACCCAAAAGAGATAGGCAATTGGTCTATTGGCTGTATGGTCCAGCGAGCAGCACATGGCGTTGAGAAGGCACATTGGAAAAGCGATTTGAGCATAATCCGTAAACCTCTGTTACAATCACCCACTGCAGTTGTCACTTTACACAACCACCATTGAAGTGCCGTTAATGAGTTGAAAATTTTATGTAAGCTATTAGTAACGCTTATGTAAAAAATGTAAGTTTCCCAGCCATGTACAACACTGATTCAAGGTCTCTTTCCCGGTTATCAAAACTGAAGACAAATTTTATAGACAAAGAATCTCTGTTTTCATTTACTGTTACCCTACACATTATTGCACTTGTGATTAATTAAATCCGTTATGTACGGAAAAACCTCAGGAAAAACGGGTTTAATCCAACTTGGTTTGGATTTTATTTTGAAATGTGATCGGAAATGATTGCGGTATCTGTAAACAACATTCAATGTAAACATATCAGTGACAAACATTTTCTTTTTTTCATGCTCTTTCATTTGATATGTCACAAGGGGTACCTTGCTATTAAAAAAAAAATAAGTTGGAGGAAGGGGGGGGATGTGAATGTAACGTTGAATTCAAAAAAATTGTGCCCCTTACGTCAATAGATGATTCCCGCAAACTGAATATTTCTATCTATTGCGGTTTTTACATAACTAAAGATGCAAGTTTAACAACAAACACCCTGTATAGATAACTCTAACAATATCTTCGACGATTTCCTTCCAAAGCTGTAAATAATATATTTCTGGCCTAAAAACGAGTTTTATGCAGTTAAAACTACCAAGAAAAATCTAATTTCGTAAAATAATGAACTTGAATGAACTTAACTCTCTAACAGTGAGCCTTATGGGTTACTAATTTGGGAACGAAATAACAAACGAAAATAGTTACCGTAACATCAACAAAAGAATAGTTAGTACCATAGATAAAACATACTCCCTTAGTTAGTACTCTCCATTCGAGTCACTTGTGTTTTCTCATAATCTCAAACACCATCCCATAGTTACAATTAAAAAACAAAATATATAAATATACAGCTGATGTTAAACAAACCTAATACAAACCAAAGAGGTTTTCATCTATCCTCAGGTAATGTTTAACATATTACAAATAGACTGCAACATTTGATTTGGATGAACAGCAGTGACAAAACACTGCTCTCAGAGTATACTAATGACATTTTTTTCGAGCAAAGCTCGGTCCCCAGGTGGTAACGTTAGGAGTGGTCTCGGAAACGGTAAGAGGTACGGCAAAGCGGTTAATATACAGGCCTACTACGTCGGTTCCAGCTTTTCATCAAAAACAATAATGAAGCGTAAAAATAATTGTAAAATTTTAATACGTGCCGCAACAGACGTTCCAAGAAACACATACTTTTTTGTGGGGGGATGTTGAAATGCGAAATTGTCACTTTTCTGAATTTTCCTCATGGTTTGGGGCAGAGACCTGTCATCGTGCCAAATTTCTACTTCCTAGCCCGTCTAGAAGTGCCCAAACACTTGTATACCTGATCAGTGAGTGAGTTACACATCGTGCTGTATAGTTAATATGATAAAATATTAAATACAACAATTTGTTTATAAAAACACAGGCTATTTTGGTAAGCACAAATCCGTTATAAGGACACATATTTGGAATTTATACACACGGCTGTTCAGGGGACAGACCCATTTAAAATGTATGGGATTTAGTTGGGAAATTCATTCTCCTACAAGTGTATTGGTATGCCTTTTTTGCCATACACAAGGCTGTTATGAGGACACAAAATGTTATATACAAGGATGTTAAGAGGACTGTCTTCTTATTAATAAGAGGACAGCAATCGTCCACCTAACAGCTTTGTATATACATTTTGTCCACTTAACATCCATGTACATATCTATATATATAAATACATATATATATATAAATATATATATATATAAATATATATATATATAAATATATATATATATAAATATATATATATATAAATATATATATATATAAATATATTTATATATATATGAATTTGAACGGATGGTGTTTTTGGCCTCTGGGGACCTCAAAACGAAAAAGTAAATTGGTCCCGGGTTTAGGTCTTACCATGAGACCTACGGTAATAGCTTATTCCCTATATGGGAAATTCGCTAAAAACTACTGAAGCAACTGGATATTTTTTAGAAAGCAGGTTTGCTGCAAGTTGGGTTGACATCAGGGTTGCTACTCGTCCCGATTCTGCTGGGACAGTTCGATTTCGGTTCCTTATGCCTGCACTTAAGCCTATGTTAATACGGGGGGAGGGGGGCCATGTCCCGATTTTTCCCTAACCTAAGGTGGCAACCCTGGTTGACAGGTTTTCTGTTGGACATAGACAGACAGACGTTCGTAACGAAAAAGATTTTTTTACTGTGTTGTCCTTACTCTGTAAACACACCAATTTAGTTTGTTGACTGAATACATTTCCGTTTAGACAGTCAGCTGGCATGAACGAAGTCAGTTTGATGAATAAGTCAGGTAAAAGGGATGGTTAAAACTTTTGTAAGCTTTGAAATTCTTGAGAAAGATGTCTTTTCTATATCTCGATTCAAACTTCTGTTAAATGTTTTACAGGTTCTGGAAGCTGTCCTGAATGTAACATACCTCTCAAGCGGAGCAACTTCCGAATCCAATTATTTGAAGATTCAGGAGTCGAAAAAGAGGTAGAAATACGCAAACGAGTTCTCAGAGACTACAACAAAAAGGAAGATGATTTTGCTACACTCAGAGAATATAACGACTACCTCGAGGAGATCGAAACTATAATTTATAATCTAGTCAACAACCAGAATGTGCAGGAAATGAACCGAAAGATAGATCAATACAAAAAAGACAATAGGGATATCATATTGAAAAATAAAATAAAAATAGGCAAAGAAGAGTTGGAGCTGGAAGAACTGCTTGAGGAAGAGAAACATGTCGACGAGCTGAGGAAAAGAGAACTCATCAAAGAGGAGCAGGAACTGAAGAAGAAGAAAATCAAAGAGAAGGAAGCTTTGATTGACGAATTAATGTTTTCAAACGCCGATGCCAAACACATTCTTAGTACTTTCGCTCAAAACAGTCTCGCTGCAAAAGAAGACGAGAATAAACCTCAGTTGCCCAAAGCTAGTCAATTCTCCACAGGTATTAAGTTTAGTAGACACAATACCGGGTACGCGCCTATTCCTCGGATGGAAGAAGCACCTCCGTACGTGTACACTCCCCTCAAATTGACCATTGAGGGACCGAGTTTACCTTTGTGGAGTGATTTAGAATCAGGTTTTATCGACAACACGCGTGCAGAAACTTTAGACCAGCGAGCCGGGGGGTTCACAGCCAAGTACGCTTGTATGCGAGCGCTGCAAGACTCACTGGATGGTCTTTTCCTCACACCGAACAGACCAGATAACGCTACATAGTAGGAGGTGAATATTGTGGAGAGTGACTCAATTGTGGATCTTGTGGAGTGAACGGTTTACTGTTCGCACTTACCACGAGAACGAGGAAAGGATGATAGATTCAAAACTTGGACATTCTGTTTCATACTTGTAATTTGCTGCCAAGTTGAAGACAGCCCGTCAAAGTCGGTTTTGAAGTGATCATAAAAACTGTCAATCATTTTCATTGATGTTTTTCCCATGTGGTTAAATGATTGTCGATTATTGAATTAGTACAAGATGGAATATATCTAATGATTACAACTTTTAATTTCATTGTTTTTAATTTACATGAAAGTTTTGGATCATAAAAGTAATATTATTTACAGTAATTGTGGTGTTTATATTTACAACTGTTTTAGGTCTACCAATTTCTTTTTTGTTATTTTGGGTTTTTATGATTTACGTTGATATTCTTGTTTTATACTCACAACTCATCAGTTATGTTATTTGTAAACAGTTATCGAAGTTGATAATTCAATGTCAAAGACAAGTTTGATTTAGGATTTTACAGTGTATATTAAGTCATGTAAATACCTTTGTTAGAATCTTGTTCAATATAAAATATTGTATTTTATTTTGTAAATACTTTTCATCAAGTATGTTATAGAAATGTATTACATTTTTTTTCAAATATTCCACTCTTTTTTCTTTTACAACTAAATTATGACTTGGTTTAAATTAGTCTCTGTATTTTGCCAATCTTTACTATTCATTCATATATTTTAACTTTTTGATTTTTCGCTCAATCATTTTCAATTCAAACACAAATATTGTGTAAATATTAAAAATAAACTTAATATTAAATATTTAATAAATGTAATTTATAGACTGTTGTACAATAGATCCTGTGATAAAAATTTATTATTCTTATCAATTTATAAAGAAGAATTTGTAGTTTTGTTAAAATAAAGTGATTTCTGATTAGAATACTTACATTTATTTCATTACGGATAGTTTTAAAATTTCTCTATATTCATACAATCATAAGATCAGATTCCAAACCAATTATTTGCTTTTGAAGTTCAGTCTGTAATATACAATACAATTCTGTTTTATCCACCATTAACATAAATCTGGATATCTGAATGGTGTTCCTGATTGCCTAATAATTAATTAAAGGTTGCTAGTTCAATACTGAGAAAAAGCAAGCACTTTTTGCTGGTAAGGAAACAACCCAGCTGTCCAATTGTTTATTTTATTGGGCTTTAATGATCCTGGCTAAAGTAACAAATCCACAAAGGTCACTCGATTCTGTACCACAAATTTCACTCACATTTGAGTCAAAATTAGAGGCTTGTCCTCATATTAGTTAGGGAATGGCGAATTGTTAGCGTCAATTGGCAATTCATAACACATCCTACAGTCCAAATTGGAATCCAAAAAATTTTAATTAATAAAACTATAACTTATGTTTTTGTTCTTTAGCATCAGGTATCTGAAAATAAACTAACAATAAAAAAAACTACTCTTGAGGGACATCCATTTTGTGATGTTTTGTGTTGTGTACAGACAGATAAAGAGTTTTTGATAGCAGCTGATCATAGAAAGTACAGTATTTTTTCCTAATATCAAAATTACAGCAAGGGAAAACCAATCAGATGTTTTCCTCTCTCTAAATTTACTTCCTTGCTCTCAATCAGTTCTCCATTTTCCAAGTTCCCATTTAGAGCAAGGGAAAACCCATCAGCAAATTTTCTCTTTCTAAATTGATTTTCCCTTGCTCTCAATCAGTTCTCCATATGCCCACTATGCCAATGTTTGTTTACAATTTATTTCTATTATTGAAATCAGCTGTTTTTATTGTTCAAAAACACAAATTTAAACAGAAAAAATGTATAGATCAGTTTGCTGTTTTAGCTTGAAAGGTGTGTTAGCTTTACAACTTTAACTACAGTACTTATTTTCACGTTATGTAGGTTTGCCATAACCTTTTTGCTTTTATTTTTACACTAAAATAATGTCAATAGGAAGTATAACAGTTTTTATTTTACTGAGGTCTGTTATTCTGTATATGAGTATTTTTGTGTTGACCGACGATGAAAAGTATCGTTCATAACATGTACCGACTACCAAAAGTGATTTCCCGGCACTCGAATTATTCTTTTATTATGGTTTCGCTTCTTACATATGGCACTTGAGAGCGCACTGGAAAATTACTTTCAGTAATAAAAAAAAATTATTGTCTTATAAAATCTGAAGAGTATTCTGAGGTGAGTTTTATGGTGATTTTTACGTGCAACAATATCGATAAAACACGGATTCTGTTATTTTAGGGGATGTTTTACCACAGACTGGAGAACATGTCTACTCGAATCTGTTGGCACTACAACATGCAATAGCATACAGATTTATTAAGTTAAAACAGTTCTAAAATCAATAGGTTAAAATATACTGCACTACGATTTCAATTTATTATGTGCTATTTTAGCCTTTCAACTTATCCACTGTATTTTACTTTCCCAAAGACTGTCCCTATTTGAATAAGTTTTAATTAATCCAGCTGATCAGTTGATTCTTTGTTGTTGTTTTTATTTATGTCTGTGTGCAGTTAGTAATAAATTATACTACACGGTGAACATTGTGGGTACTATCATTTAGTCAATGGTACTATTTAATTGAATTTTAAATTATTTTAAGGACAATGACAATGTTCTAATCCGACTTATCTAAACATGTCAACCATTCCTTGATATACACGTCAACTTATGCAACCGAACAATACCCGATTACCAACCTACCAAAGCTGAATTTCCCGTTCTCCGATTGTTGTAGACAACAATGCCGTCGCTGGAGGGGGGGGAGGGGGCGTGGCTTACTGTGCGTGCGCGCACTAACATACTCGCTCAGTGATGGTGTGTTTGTACCAGTGAGTAGTGTGCAGGTAGGCCCTAGGATGGCTGCCGGAGTAAGGGTAGCTGTTATACTCATCCTACTCGCTCTTCGCTGTGTCAATGCCAACTGGTGGTAAGTTTTTGAAAAGTATTACTTTCATAGTTTTAAGTTTTTGAAAAAGTTTACAAAGGTGCGATGAAAGTTTGTGGTTAAGTTTCAAAATAGGTTAGATGTTCCTGGGCATTTTGGTCGAAACTGTTTTACTGTTTGAATTTTCTCGGTAAACAAAGGTAAAAATAACGTATATTTAATTTTTTTAATTACTAATGGAGATGTTTTCAAAGTTAATTTGGTTAACCTTATCAGTTAGTGTAATGTTTTAGGTTTTAGTGTTAACAGGATATTTTCAAAGTCGGTGTGAATAAGGACTTAAGCCTATTTTGTAGAATTATACTAAATAATTTCTACTACGGTACGGAAAATCTACCTAGGCATATTTGGTAAACTAAAAGGGTTATGTAGGTATGTTATTTTTTTGGCTAAAAGTGTGTTATGCAGTTTTATACGATGCGTGAGAGTAAGCTTATGGAAATATGAACGCCAAATGTATTTTTTATGTATTTCTATATTGTGAAATTTTAGATGGCCAATTGGAGATTTTATTGTCGGTGTATTTTAAACGTTGAATAAATCTTGGGTTTGTTAACTGGTTTCAAAATAGGTTTTACCACAGACTTTACAGTATAAAGGTGACTGATCGTCAAATTAATGCGAAATACGGGTGTAATAAAAATAAAACAAGATCGCACCACTCATCCTACACTTATCCTTCACTCATATTTGGGTTAAAATACGCACATAGTGGCGTCCCCATCTTAAATAATTGATTAATTGATTGATTGATAAAATGTTAATTACCGATAGGAAGTATTATGCAAAGTTTTTGACATAAAAGCTACATGTTCAGACGTATCTCGCATAGTTTAAAATACCATTGCAAGTAAATATGTTTCAAAAATCAAACCATGAAGAGTTGTATTGTATACAAAAAATGCGGACTCGTTCTTAGTTCGTAGATAATGAATTTATCATTGTGGTTGTGAATTTGGAACAAAGTTGATTGTTCTACAGAAGAATTAATAAGGTAATTAATTATGAAGGATATGCCTTGATCTAATATGTAGCAACCTGAACTGTTAATTTAACCAAAGAAGGTATTCCTACCAACCAGATATTTTATATTTCAGTAATATGGATGAAAGTGTATAATATGATAATGTAATGGTAAGCGCTCATAGACTCTTTGTAATGAAATTAGGCCTACCCCACGGATAACATCTTAACACTATTTTAGTTATTCTACAATTTGCAGAAAAGAGTCTGAAGTTTAAACCTTTAGATCGAAGATATAGGCCTACTTTTAAAATTTGACTGTAGTAGTTTTGTACACAAGTTGCTGTATTAATTTTCGCTCGTACTACTGGTTCGGAACTAGTTTAGACAAACAAGACTAAAACTTAGTTGTAGGTTTTCTTATCAGATAGATAAGAATAAATCCCTTGAACTCAGTGAAGAAGACAGTAGCACACCTGGTTTACGCAACACAAGCATGTTTATTTGTCAAAATGCTCCCATTATATTATTTTCTAATGTATATTTAATTTAAATTTATATTCTAAATAGACAAATACGAACCCAAAACGATGTTTTATGAGTAGAAGCCATAATTTGGTTTCTGACAAAAGCAAATAACATGATGATTTTCCTGGAAATACATTTTGCGTTTATTATTGAAATAGCAGACAATTAAAACTACTATGAGTGAAGCTCTAAAATATATCAGTGAAATTACCTTCACTACAAGTCATTGAATTTTCAATCAGTGGACTAAAAAGCGTTTATAAAATAATCGCTTGTTCCCTAAATTGTACGGGGAAAAGTGTTTAGTTCATAAAATACTCTCGTTTTCCCCTGTTCAAAAAGTTGAATTTAAACACATTAAACATCTCATTATTCATGTGCACATTTAAATAAAAATATATCTTAAAATACAATTACAACCGACATCTTTAAACATATTCTTAACCCAAATGTCCAGGGAATAAAAACGATTTATTAATTTTTTTATTAGTTTTCGTTTGGATCCTACTATCAGTAACAGAATTGTCGGCAGTGAGTAGTATTATGGAAAACTTAAAACAATGATTTTATTCGGCTAAATCAACAATATTTTTACAGGCTATGTCAAACAGTGTACAAGCATAATGTACATGCATAAAATAAATATCAAGAGTTAAAAAATAAAACCTAGTAAAAATCTATCAAAAACAAACCATGTGTGAAATATTTTGTTGATCCATGCACAAAATATTACAAAGTAAACCATGCAGTTCACGCAAAATGCATGCTCTATGTAAAAACAGGAAACAATCTGTTCAGAGGAAAACTTCTTGATGTTTAAAGAAGAAAGTTTTATCATAGACTAACCAACACAAGTTTTATGTTTAGGATATTCAGATTAGTTCTTTATCCTTCTTAGAAAGAGGAACCAAACGTTAAAATAACTATGGATTTGCTTTAAAAATATTAAGGATTTGTAAATATGCAAGTAAAAGTTATAATTATTATAATTTAATGAAAACTTATTTACAAGACTCTCTCTGACCAACGCTAGAAATAACTTTTTCTGGAGTGCGAAAATAAGTTTAGTTGTCATTTAGTTTAAAATCTAATCCATAGGAATACCATAAAATAATAACTTTAAAATTTTGAGACAATAATAACATAAAACAACCATTTAACAAGAACCTAGCTAAGAAGTCTGTTTGGAAAATAATTATCGTGGATTATTAATTTATAGATTTTTAAGGTAATAAATTCCATCATAAAAATATTTATTTATTG